CCCGCCCGCCTGCCTGCCCGCTGGAGCTGGGAGCCCGGAGCCTGTGACTGGGGAGATGCCGCTCTAATCCTGGAGTTGCCAGGCCTGTTTGAACCAATCAGAACCACTCTGCTCTTGAAGCCGGGGAAGGCTTCTGCCTCACCATGGCAACTGACTCCCTGCCGAAAGGGAAACTCGGGCCTCCGTTTGCTTTCTGCTCAGTGTCTCGTGGCTGAAGGCTATGTCCCTTGCTCATCTTTTAGCCCACATGAGGAAAGTCTCCCGAATGGCAATGTCGAGATGGAGCAGAAGGGGTTCCATTAAATACATTGCTAATTTTGTCTAGGAAGAAAATCTCTCTCTCTCTCTCTCTCTCTCTCTCTCTCTCTCTCTCTCTCTCCCCTCTCTCTCCATCTTTGGATGCAAGCCAGGGCAGCAATTTTCACTGGAGACGGCCAAGGCTCCACCGAGTCTTCCCTGGAGAGTCTGTTCTGCTTTAAGTTCGCTTGGCAGGAGAAGAGCCAGGGCTCGGCTCTCCATTTTGCTCCTCCCGGAGGTTAGCAGCACAATCTGAAAGTTCCTTCTATGTTGGTACGGAAACTGCAGATACCGTGGGAACAGTTATCATCTTCAGCTGATGCTCTCTCCACTGGTAACTTTGTGTTGAAGCACTGGCCTCATTTTGAAACCTGAATAGACAACAGTTTGTTAGAAAACCAGTATCACTGATTTTGATGGGAACTTTTAGGAAAAGAAGAGATGGAAAGTCTTTCGTGTATGTGTGTGTGTGTGTGTGTGTGTGTGTGTGTGTGTGTGTGTAACATTCCCCCAGCACACATGTAAAAACACATGCCTGAAATCCCAGCACCGGAGAGGTGGAGGAGACAAGGGGATCTCTGGTCTTGTAAGCCAGCCAGTCCACCTGAGCAAGTGAGCTCCAGTTTCAGTGAGACACCCTGTCTGTCTCGAAAAATAAAGTGGAGAGTAACTGAGGAGACACTCAAAACCAACCTCTGGCCTCTAGAGTCCCACATGCACACACACAAACATGTACACACATATTCCACATACTCATACACACACACTTACACATCAATGGTGTGTTGAGCTTTGCCACAATGTGGAGTCCCTGTAGAAAATATAACGGTGGAAAGGGAGAAACACCTGTCTTCCTGCTGTCAGGTGGGAGACACAGAAAGCGTGTTCACGATCAAGCATATAATTAAAGACAAATCCTGTGAACAAGTCCGTAGTTAGGAGGATCAAGAGAGAGTCCTGGAGCACGTGATATGGGAGCCAGCCTTTGCCAACCTGGAAGGATTGGCATGGAGCAATTCTAGTCCAAGGAAACTGTATAAACAAAAGCTGTGGGGTAGGAAAGTTGAGTCTGTGGCAAACTGCATGATTTAGTGCCATGTGCTTAAAGGTAAGAATAAGAACTAGGCTCAGGGCTGGGGTGGAGCTCAGGTGGTAGAGCGCTTGCCCAGCAGACAGAGAGTCCTGGCTTCAGTCCCCTCGCACCAACTGGACATGGTAGTTAAGACCTGTAATTGTAGCACCTAAAAGGTAGAGGCTCCAGAAGTTCAAGGTCACCTTCAGCTAAATAAGGAATTCCAAGCCATCCTGAGAGAGAGAGAGAGAGAGAGAGAGAGAGAGAGAGAGAGAGAGAGATATTCAGAGTGCAATATTTTCAGGGTTCTTGAATGTCAAACTAAGGAGTTGGGTTTTATTCCAGAAGCTACACAATAACATCAGAGCAAAGAGTTAACATGGGAATGGGAGGATGATGGGAGTTGGAAGAGCGCGGGTCATGAGAGGTAGGGACGGTCCTGGCACAGTACAGGCAGGACAAAGACAGGTTAACTGAACATCAGGGGCAAATCATTCAGTTTCCAGCTAATTCGATGTAGGGGTAGTCCGTGTTCTTCACACAGTTCTGTGTACAGTAAATAGCTGGGCCCTTTTGCCCCCCGCATCTCAGATGAAAGCGTCCTCTGATTCAGTTGCACTGGTTCTAATTCCTGCTTCCTCCACTGCTCTTGTCCCCACCTCACACTTAGGGCAATGTAGCGACAACATATTCCCAGGTCGGTGACTGTCAAGGTCTAGAGCACTAAAGTCACCTGGAGGCTTTGTCAGAACACAGGCTGTGATATTTTAAGAAACTGAATTCTGAACTGAGAGGCAGCTCACACGGTAGCCCATGGTACCTGCCCAGTGTGCTGGAAGCCCTGGTTTCTACCCCCAGCACCGAATGAACTGGACGTGGTGGCTCATGCCTGTAACTCCAGCACTTGGGAGGAATCCACAGGAAACTCAATTTAAGATCATCCCTGGCTGTACATGGGTTTCAGGCCATCCTGGCCTACATGAGACCTTGTCTCCGAGGGAGACGAAGGAGGAAGGGAAAGAAAACACTGGATTCCAATGAGTGTCTAAGACAGTGATTCTCAACTTCATTCTGCCATCCTGGAACACAGTTCCTCACGTTGTAGTGGCCCCCAGTCATAAAACTATTTTGTTGCTACTCTGTAACTGTAATTTTGTTTCTGTTTTAAATCATAATGTAAATATCTGTGTTTTCCCGTGCTCCTAGACAATCTCTGTGAAAGGGTCATTTTATCCCCCAAAGGGTCATGACCCACAAAGTTGAGAACAGTTGCTCTAAAAGCTGATGGTGTGGCTGTTCTGGGGACAAAACTTGGAGTCCCTCTATTCCAGGCCTCTTATGGTTACCTCCGTAACTATGAGGCAGGGACAAGAACAGCAGAGAAAGCCACTGACCCAGAAGACACTTGTCTTGTTCTTTGGACTGACATTATTGTAAATGTCTTTGACAAAGAGGCGCACTTATTCACCGAACACAAAATACTGTGAAGGAAGCGTCGTGATGTAACCTTCTAATCACAGCTACAGTTGGGATCAGATTCGCCTCTGCCTCCTTGAAGTCTTTGATTATTCTGGGTTATGCTGATTATTCTCTCTCCATTATTTTATATTAAAATTGGGATAACACTGACCACTGCACACTGGTGTGAGGGACAGATGTAGAAAACCACAGAATATATTTGGCTGTATGCCAAGATGGATATAAAATGAAATATGGACCTAGGAAATGTGTATGCCACTTATGAGAGCCATTGTGTGATAGAAAATAAGGCAAGGAGATTGAAGGACCTAGACTGCCAACATTGGGGAGGTGGAGCCAGGAGGATCAGAAGTTCATGGTCAATCATCAGTTACCAATTCAAGATAGCCTGGGCTACTTGAGACGCTGCCTTCAACTAAGCAAGTGAATAAAACACACAGAGGAATTCCATTCTTCCTACCTTCTGTTTGGTCTGGGTTTGCTGTTTGGATTTTTCCCTCCTACAATCTTACGCTACCCGGTTGCTCCAACAGTGTACCACGTGTGGCTGGCAATGTGGCTGTCTGGGAGAGTGCTTGTCTAGCATGCAGGAGGCCCTGGTTTTCACCAGAGCACTGCATAGACTGGACAAGGTGGCACATGCTCATGAGACCAGCACTCAGGAGCACCGGGAGTTCAAGGTCGTTCTCAGCTCCACAGACAATCTGACCTGCCAGGCTATGTTTGTGTCTAAGAAAATGAATAAACAAAAAAGAATACCAGGGGATAGTGAGCTCCATGAGGCAATGTGGAACAGTGTGTGGTGAATTGTTTGCTTGCTTTTCTATACCAACCTTTCCTGAGGCAGCCAAGTGGTCACCACCGAGTCACCATCTGGCCTGTCAGACCCTTGGGGACACCAAGGACCGCCAGGGTGGTCATAGCTTTGGATTAAGCATCGTCTTTCCATAGCTCTCTGCAGTGATCAGCACACGGTCCCCAAAGGACATGGGAAGATTCGTCCTCAGGGGATTTTCTGCTGTCGGGGAGAGTGTGAGGAAGAGGGCAGGAGATGGTACCCGGATGAAGAGAGAGGAAGAGTCAACAGTCAAGGAGGAAGGGGAAGCTTTCCTTTGGACTTTGTGCCTCCCACCTCCACCCCATTAGCACAGGGTCTTTGTGGGGCTTGAGGCTATGAGTGTCCCACGAGGACGCAAGCTCAGAGGATTTTCCCGATGCAACTGTCTGGGGCTTGTCCCCAGTGAAGAAATCAGCAAGCCAACATTGTTCTTTAACCAGGTAAGTCTGATGCTATACCATCACCAGACGGGGAACAGAAGGCAGACTTGGCAGACAGTCCTGTAGGAAGGGCCATCTCAGGATGAGCCTGTGTCGTGGGAACTTAATGACAAGCAAGGCCCCAATGCTCCCTTGAATCCCCACCCCGAGGAAAGAGCCTGGGAGTCGCACACACTTCAGCTCAGCTTGCTGCAGGGAATGGAGGAGGGAGCCTTGAGGAGAACAGACAGTACAGAGGGCTTTGGCTGCTCTGGGCCCCTAGAGGTGAACATTGCTGTAGTTAGCAGAGCTCCACTCGTCAGTCGAGAAGGGAAGTTGTTGTTTAAACCAGATGATCGTTCGCTGTGGCAGGCACCGTCCTATGCATGGTAGGTGTTTGGCAACATCTCTCCCTTCTGTCATTACACTTCCTCTTTGGTTAATTCCATAACCCCAACATGTCTAGACATTGCTGATAGCCCAAGTCACATGGCCCGAGACCTGCTGCGCCCTGGTGCCGAGCCCTGGTGCCGAGCCCTGGTGCTGAGCTCTGCTGGAACCACTTGGAGAACGCTCATCTATTCCCTGCTTCTAGAAAGGATTAATACTCCCAATGAAAGGACAAATCAGAATATTTGGAGGTATAAATGGAGTTTGGTCTCAAAACCTCAAGCACTGAAAGGCAGGTGGGAGATGATGAAAAAAAAGACCCACTTCTTTTTTTTTTTCAGTTAAAGAAAAGGAGACAAGAACCATGTGATTTGCCTCAAGGCCTAAGATGAGGAAGGGAGAGACACATGAATTTAGGACCTGACCTTAGGAAAAGACAAACAACTTCATCACCCTCTCCTCCTAAGCTCCTTCAACCCTGGATCTTCAAGGGAACAAGCCTTACTTGTTTTAGAAGCTGGTGAAACATTTCACCAGGGGCATGTGGATGTCCGCGGTCCATGCTCCTGCAGAAGGCCATGTGGATGTCTGTGGGCTGGGCTGCCACCGGAGACCATGCTGAGGTCAGTGGTCCGTGTGGACACTGGAGGCCAGGTGGGTGTCCAGGATCTGTGTTCCCGCTGACTGTAAAGGACAAGAAAGTTTCTCCTGCAGTGGTATCAATGACAGCAGACTCACAGTTGAGAAAGAGGGACATAGAAGGCTCCTGTGATAACCGCCCCCCCCCCCAAATAACAGCCTAGACAGGAAGACAAGAAGCCATAGTCAAGAACTCTTTTTTTGGGGGGGGGGGGTTTCAAGCCATTGTTCTAATTCTAGAGAAACGGGGTAGAAATTCTACCGAGAGTTAGAAATGTGAAGTGACTCACTGCATAATTTATAACAGAGATTTCATTTTTAATTGCACACACGCACACACACACACACACACACACTCACGTGTAGGTATGTGTTCATCAGTACCCTCAAGAATGAACATGGCAGATGCTCATCCTGAGGCTGGAGTGATAAGCACTCGAGAGGCACCTGACACGGGTGGAACTGAACCAGGGTCTTCTGCAAAGGCAGCAGGAGCTCTTACCTGCTGAGCCGCCCGTCCAGGCCGCAGCCCAGCGCAGACCCCTAAGCCAGGCCGGTCACTTCCGAACCCTACCAATACGCCTTACTGCCCGTGCCCACCGATTCTCAGCGTCCAGCTGACGGGACTTAGAATCACCAGGAAGACAGAACTCTGGGTCTGTCTACGAGAGGATTTCCAGAGAGGTTTATGTGAGGAGGGAAGAGTCACCCTAAATGTGGACACCACCATCCCATGGGGTTCACCTCAAGCCACACTAGAGAAGGGGGAGCAATTATCCCTTTAATGAGATGGTGTACTTTTCCTTCCAGATTCCAGCCTTTTAGTGCAGTCCCAACAAGCTGCCAAGAGAGTTGTTGGTCTGTCTGTCTGTCTGTCTTAGTCCCGACTCAGGTAAACTTGTCCCTTTTTTCTTGTCTCTCTCCTTCTTTCTGATCCTGGCCAGAGCCCGACTGCTTCCTCTGGTACCGTAGGTTTCTTTACTCCCTCTCTGAAGCTCTCTCCCCCACCACGTGGTGACTTGTCTGTCACGTGGCTGACGTCCATGTTGCTTTAACTCAAATGGCATTGTTCTTTGCTGCTTTTTCCTTCCCTGCCCATCCTCCATCTGGCGGCCGAGACTCACAGGTTACCTGCTTTGGGACTTTCCTTTTAAACTCTGATAAGTAACTTGTCCTCAAGTGTCTGTCTGAGTCTATTCTTAAATTCTTTCACTAAGAGACTATGAACCCCAAGAGGGGACCTCGATTTTCCTGGTCTTATATGGCCGCTTCAGAGGGATACCTGGTTGCTTTCCTTCCACACATATTTACTGAATCCCTATCTTAAGTCATTTTTAGGAAGACAGTACCTTGAGTGAGGTCAGAATTCTTTCCTTGGGTATCAGTGCTGGACTGACACATGGATGCTGGAAAATAACCATGCAGCGTGAAAACCTCCTGATGTCTCCACCAGGCATTACCCACTTCCCTTTGTGACACAGGCAGAGAGGTCAGTGGCCCTGCCTGTTCATCCCTTCACCCCACATTGTCCCTGCTCACCCCACTGCTTCCAAGGTGGACGGTACCTCAGCAAAGGCCAGACCAGCTGGCGTCAGAGCCCTCTCCTTAGTCCTCTCCTCTCTGCCCTGTGAAACTCCTGCCAAGGACCTAACTTGGTTTCTAAGCACCCATGTTGGATGACTCACACCACTGTAACTCCAGCTCCCCAGGATCTGCCTTACCTGGGTACCTGCACAGACACGAAACCCGCAAACAAAAATATGTAAAAGTAAAATATTCAAAAACAAAAACAAATCTACTTTGTGCCCAGAATGCTGAAGGGCAGCAACAAGGCCCACTGCAGGTCAGTGTGGGTCCAGGGACCTGGTGAGAGGCCAAGCTTCAGCTCAGGGGCCACATGACTGTGTTTCTTGGGGCAAGAACTGCTGACCTTCAACACGGAGCAATTCGAGATTTCTAGGCACTATATCAAGTTCAGAACATGGAGGGCGGGGAGACTGCAGGCGAGGGTAAAGGTCAGACTTGAGCACTAGACCGCAAACAGGCGTGAGTCCTTGGGTGTGGATTTTAGATGTGTTCTCTCTCTCTCTCTCTCTCTCTCTCTCTCTCTCTCTCTCTCTCTCTCTCTCTCTCCTCTCTGTCTGCCTCTCTGTCTCTCTCTGTCTCTCTCCCTCCCTCCTCCCTCCCTCTCCCTGCTTCTTCCTTCTGTTTTTCTATCTTTCTTTCTTTTTTAATACTAGGGCCCAGCTTCTTCTGACTGGGGGTTACAGGTTTACCCTCCTGGTGACAGATTGCTCAGCTACAAGCTGGGAGACACAAAGCTCCTTCCAGTCAGCCCAGAATTCAGCCCATAGATTTCCAGTTATGGAAGGGAGCTGTTCTGAATCAGGCAGCAGATGTAAATTACAGGCCCGCATTGATTTTGCATTAATTTCTCTTAGGCTACTCCCATGCTGCTTAAATAGCACCTTTTTACAGCAGTGGTGGCATTGTATTCTTCAGAGCTGATTTGTTTCCACCCAGAGAGGGCTCCAGGAGGACAGAGCAGTTTTTCAAGTTCTTCCCTTGGAGGAGATATCTTCACTAGCGAGCAGTTCTCTGGACCCAGTAGTGGATTTGTGCGATTCCCAGCCGGGGTTCTCTACGGCTTTACCAGTCCTCGTTTCAAGACACAAACCTTCTGGAAAAATCAACCCAGCCACCCATGGAGACAGTGAAGTGGTTGTGCAGGAGGTCAGGGTGGCAGATAATGGCACTGCGTGTCCCTGCCACTCAGACAGGCCCACGTGCCCTGTGCTGCGGGCTCTTGGCTCTCTCGGCATCCAATACTTTGAGAACTCATTGAGTGAAGGACAATAGGTGAACTATGCCCTCTCTACCCCCTTCCTTGGAGAGGAACAGAGCGAGGGACCAAACTGAACCCCTGAGTGTGGTGTTGGAAGCTCCTATCACCAGCCTGCAGGCAGGCACTCTCTCCTGGCAGGGTTAAGACCAGCCCAGTGGTTGAGCTGGGGCTAGACTGCACACGGCCCGGACTTCTGTAGCCAGTACCAAAGCTGACTTTGTGGGCAAGGACACTCAACTGCATTTCTTCCCCGATGTGGCCAGTGTTTTCTATTGCCTCTCTTGGTGAGACGGTCAACAAGCAGTTCGAGCTGATTCTCTCTCACCTACTTTTGCACTCAGGTGCTGAGAGTATTAGAACTACAACTCGATAGAGACACCCAGAGCTGGCTAATCTGTACAAATCCTTGGGTTCAATCACTAGCACCCCATAAACAAAGTGTGGTAGCACAAGTCTGTAATTGTAGGGCCCTGGCCCCCCATTTTGGGTAGCTGTTGCCTTGCTTGCCGACCTTGACCAGATGTCCTCCCTATGCTGATTCCCTGCCGGTTTCCTTGTTCCTGAACCCTCACCCGAGGTTCTTTGTGTGTATCCTGCATTTGGTGTAAACAGTTTAGATGCAAGAATGTAGAACACTGGGTAGTGAACTTCTGCCCTCCGGGGATCCTCCATTGTGCTGTAAGCCTGTATTTAAGGTTTCCTCCCTCTTTCAATAAACGGCATTCGGGATTCTGCTGAGGCAAATGACCCGCTGTCTCTTGTCTCTATTTTTTAATCCACAGCCCCTCGCTCGGACATGGTGAACGGGTGGTGGTAGCGCGGGCACTACCTCAACATGTAATCCAAGCTCTCAAAAGGCAGAGGCAGGAGGATCAGAAGTTCAAGGTCACCTCCAGCAACATAGTATTTGGCCATCCCCGAGTGCTGTGATACATGAGACCTTGTCCTTAAAAAGTGGGTGAGGACTAGAGATATGGCTCAGTGGTTGAGAGCACTTGCTGCTCTTGCAGAAGACCAGAGTTCAGTGCCCAGCTCTGTCTGTGGCCCACGGCTATCTGGAACTCTAGCTACAGGGTATCAACTGCCTCTGGCCTCAGCAGGCACTGCACTTGAATACACAGAGACACACAATTAAAAATAATAATAAAAAATATTTTAAAAGGAATTCCAAATGTGCCCTGGAGAAGAACCAGACCTCCACAAGTTCAAACTTATTTTAGGCCTCCAGAAAAGCACATAGCCTTGAGCATGTGTCACCAGCTTGTGTCACTGTGCCAATAATGGTCCAGCACACTGGGTGAACATTTAGATGCGCTCTACCCAACTTAGAGTGGACATTACTGGGAAAAAGTGTGTATGTGCGTGCATGTGCAGTTATGTGTCTGAGAGGTCATCTGAAGGTGTAGCTCCGAGGTTTTGAGCCAGGAGCTCTCACTGGCCTGCTGCCTGTCAAATAGTACATGTCGGCTGACCCACACACCTCAGGGATCCTGCTGCCTCTGCCTCCTCTGCACTTCAAATACAAGCACATGGCACATGCCTAGCACTTTATGTGGGTGCTGCGGATTGCACTCAGGTATGACAAGGACTTTATCAGCTGAGCTATTGCCCCAGCCCTGGACACTACCTAAAGAAAGACAAGGTCGAGGTGGAGAGGAGACTTTTGTGTCTCAGTCCTTGGCTCCAGAGACTGAAATCTGAGGCCTACATTGGTAGAACATTCCTGCTTCGTGCAGCAAGCCATCTTGGGTTGAGTGGGTGAGCGTTTCATATGGCTGAACCACTGCCTGGTGGGATGCCAAAGGATTGATCTGATCCATCATTTGCCGAGGACTGGTTACAGTGGGAAGTGGAGCCCAAACAGGCCCAGGCCCTGGTAGAGATCACCGGCTCCTGAAGGAGAGGGATTCTTAGAAATGTACTTAGCATGATCAGTGCTGTAAGGGACAGAAAAACTAATCTGAAATATTTGTTTATTGTGATATCTATCATATATACAACTTCCTAATATATGCAATTTAAAGAATAATTAAGTGCTTATCTGCCCTTTAGGTCACTCAAGTTGAAATAGCTGAAATCACTCCCCTGAATTTTCATGAGGTGTTGTTTTTTTTTTTTTTGTTGTTGTTGTTGTTGTTTTGCTCTGTATTATTTCAACCATATCTATGTCCATTCCTAAACAATACAGTAATTAGTTTTGTGTGGTTTTTTTTTTACCATGTTTATTCTGTCCACAGTTAACTGAACCTCTTTAATTTGAAGGTTTAGCCAATAAAATTCAGAAAATTTGTGAAAAGAAATTGAGTGAGTCTGGAAGACAACGGGAGTTGATTGTGTAGCAAGGTTAATTCAAGAGAACCTCTGGAGTTAAGAAGACATGGGCTGGCTGAAATCTTCCCATAGAAACAAACCCTTAGGGAACCACGATCTTGTTCACTAGGCACTTGGAAGGCCAGGGTGCTGCTCAAGTTTGGGTTCTAGCGCCACCTAGAGAGCAGAATGAGATAATTTCCATTCTCTGCTCAGTCAAAGGAATCTATCAGCTGTTTTCCTAGCTCCTTAATTTTCTTAAAGATTCATGTGTGTCAAAGATGCAACAAAGAACGAGAATCACAGACCAATGTCCCTCATGAAAACTGATGCAAAAATACTCACTAAAATACTGGCAAACTGAATCCAGAATACATCAAAAGAATCATCCACCATGATCAAGTAGGCTTCGTCCCAGAGATGCAGGGATGAACATATAAAAATCTGTGAATGTAATACATCACATAAACAAACTGAAAGAAAAAACCCACATGATCACCTCATTAGATGCTGAAAGAGCCTTCGATAAAATCCAACACCTCTTCATGCAAAAGGTTTTCGAGAGATTGGGAATACAAGGAACATACCTAAACATAATAAAGGCAATTTACAGCAAGCCAACAGCCAACATTAAGTTAAATAGAGGGAAACTCAAAGCAATTCTATTAAAATCAGAAGCAAGACAAAGTTGTCCATTCTCCCCATATCTATTCAATATAGTACTCGAAGTTCTAGCTAGAGCAATAAGACAACAAAAGGAGATCAAGAGGATACAAATCAGAAAGGAAGAAGTCAAACTTTCACTGTTTGCAGATGATATGATAGTACACATCAGTGACCCCAAAAATTCTACCAGGGAACTCCTACAACTGATAAATACCTTTAGTAGTATGCCAGGATACAAGATTAACTAAAAAGAAAAGCAGTAGTCCTCCTATATACAAATGATAAACAGGCCGAGAAAGAAATCAGAGAAACATCATCCTTTACAATAGCCACAAATAATATAAAATACTTTGGGGTAACTCTAACAAAGCAAGCGAAAGGTTTGTGTTTCTTTAAGTCCTTGAAGAACTTTAAGTCCTTGAAGAAAGAAATTGAAGAAGATAGCAGAAAATGGAAAGATCTCCCATGCTCATGGATAGGTAGAACCAACATAATAAAAATGGCAGTCTTACCAAAAGCAATCTACAGATTCGATGCAATCCCTATCAAAATCTCAACACAATTCTTCACAGACCTTGAAAGAACAATACTCAACTTCATGTGGAAAAACAAAGAAACCCAGGACCTCTAAAACAATCCTTTACAATAAAGAAACTTCTGAAGGCATCACCATCCCTGACTTCAAGCCCTGCTATAGAGCT